GGGAAAATCTTAAGCCGTCGTGAGAAATATTAAACATGTTTAATATTCTATGACACGGCTGACCCCAGCACAAACCATCGCGTCTGCGTTTAACTCTCACAGACCCCATGTGACAACAAATCGCATTGGGCTGCGTCGTACGACGCTGTCCGGGTTGGCCGTAAATAACCCTCATTTGCTAGTAAATCAAACCCACCCCTATTCAGCCACTTGGAACAGGTAGTACACCATTCTCATCAGAATTGGTCTTAGTACACCTTCCACCCTCTTCCCACAATCCCTGTTAAAATTGTCACAATTTTTGGTTAGACACCACTAGTGCCAAAAACAGCACTAACTGGCTTACAAACTAACTATAATTTTCACCCCAACAGATCTTACTGTGACTCCCCAGTGGCTGGGGCACAGGTCTTGATGGCAATGCCTAGGCCCAGCTGGCCCATCCACTGGCACCACCCCTACCCTAAACGCTAAGCATTGGTCTTTACTACACCAACATTCTCAGCCACTAGAAACTGTTTATATTAACATCAAACCCAATATCACATTTATTATCTTTACCTTATACTTTCAGACATCATTTCCAAAATCCCTCACTGAAAAATGAATTAAAAGAAATAATAAACTGCTTGATTATTATTAACTGAATTTATCACACATACACCAGTAATTAAACAAAAATATATTTGTACATTCACAAATATAATACAAAATAAATGTATAATCTGTTTCTAAGAAACAACAAAAAGCAGAATAATTGCAGATTTCAACTATTCCAAAAAGCTTCTCAAATTATTCAGAGGTTGGTCACCTCGTTGGGGACAGGTACCTGATTCAAACTTGTAAAATCTTCAATAGTTGTTAGGAAGTGATGGGCCTTGATGAGGTCATCCTGTCATGTACTTAGATGACACACTTCATTTCATGGTTTGATTTTAGAATTGGTCCACAGTGAGATTTATATTATTGATAGGCCCATTATGTTGGCCTTTTATGATGAAATATTGTATTCTTTTTAAAATATTGTTTTAGTAAAAAAAAAACCACCTCTTAAGTATTTTTTTTATATTATTTTATTGACATGTACTAAATAAATAGCACATTATTATTATTACAGTATTACTATTATTAATATATTATTACTACTATTGGTATTATGAATATAATTATCATCATTAATTTTTAAGTTTTTTCTGATACGGTTATCTAGTAGGTGAGGCATCTGACCATTTGCTATGGGGTCTGAAACCTCCTCCATTAAGAAGTTCCCTCTTATTGCTTAAAGGGATCAGAAACCATTCTCCACCACTTCTTCCTTCACAACCTGCTGTGGGTTTACTAACATGGATTGAAGCAGAAACATCAAGAACTCCCTTTTTTTCTTTACAGAACTGTATATTAATTTAATGTTTGCAATTATTCATTATATTTATATATACAACAATCATAGGAGTGATGTTGATGCATCAACATAGACAACAAATTACATATTTTTAATTATATTACTTTTATGGATTATGTATTATATTAATTTGTTAGATATATTTGCAATTATTTATTATATATTATTTATTTATTATTATTATTTTTTTATATTTATTTATTTTTCCTTTCTAATGTTTTGGGGTAGTTTGTAGTACCACTCCACTCTAATAAATGTATAAGATTTTTCTCTTTCATCTCTTAAAGGGGTCAGAAACTTGTCCACTTCTTAAGGGAATCAGAAATTCCCTCCACACCCTGTACACATTTATTTGTTGTATATCTATTTCTAAACTATTTAGGGGTTAAAGGTTAAACTTTAATCTATTCAATGGGGTCAGAAGATCCTTTCTAACACCTGTTAAAGGATGGCTGGATCTCTCCTTTACCTGTTGTGGGCCCATCCTCCACCCAATATTTTGATGTGTACATTCTTCCTGGGAGCTAGAGTAACATATTTTTTTCCCCAATATAATTAAATGAGTTATTCTTTCAGGAACCTGTTTAAATTAGAGTAACATATAAATCTTATTGAGAACTAAGCAATGTATTGTTCCACGAAAACATACATCAGAATTTTTTTCTGATGAAAATGTTTCAATTTCAGGGAATTGCCCGTCAAGGGAGGTGATGATTAAGATTACACTGCGACTCATCGAGTCTTAATTATTATTAATGTTTATATTAATGCAGAACTGAAGAAAATATAGACTACATTATTTATATTCATTTCAGTCAGTGAGTTGTGACAAAACATCAATTTAAAGAAGTCATTGGTCTGAATATTAAATATTTCAATGTGAATATAGAGGATCTGGGGAGATTAAAAAGTAACACTACAGTAGATATGGGTGTCCTCTAAAAATGACAATCTGGGATGCACTAAATAAAAAATATCAATTAGTTTGTATTTAATCATTTGTGAATTACTATGATTTATATACACACCCATGTTGTTGCAGTGTCTCATAATAAATCATGGAGAAAAACCATGGTCAAAACATTTCAGGTTATTGGTAACAAATACCCGAGTCACTCAAATTAAACTGAGTTCCGATTATGAATTAATTTTGTTTTGAATAATTTACTAGATTATCCGTTCATATACAATATGTGCAATTTCATTTCCAGTACAGTATTACTGTTCTTGTTTTATTATGCTGGAAATTAAAGTTATCTTAATATCTTTAATATATTTGTTGCATGATGCAAGGATGTAGGAACCAATAGTGTCACTCCAAAATAATTTGTATTTTATAATTTGAAAATAATGTAAAATTTATAATGCACCTTTCATTATGCAAAGCTGAAGCTCAATGAGCCTAAGAAATATAATTTTCCTTCAGTTTATAATGCTTTTTAAAAACCTATAAAATAAATTCAATCCTTTAAGAATATTAAATTATTAAACATCATTAATTAGTCTGAATACACAATTTAAGTCTACTCCATCATAAACCTTTTAGTTAACATTTGTATTTCATTTGCTTTCATCATATTCATTTTAAAGCACCATTAAATGTTAAACTAAGCAATTAGTGATAACAACAATCCACGGAGATAAATTGCCAGATAATTTAAGTTTTTTATTTTAAAAAAAATATAAATGGTACTTCTCTACCTAATTAGTGATGTATATATTTTCTCTCTCTTAATTTTGAATTAAAAGCTATTTACTTTAATATTAAATTTGATTTAGTTTTTATCAGCCATGTATAGACAAGTTTTATTTTAAGAATTGAATGTTGTGCAACATTTCACATGGTAGTCATGCCTGATGATGATGGTATAAACAAGTCTCAACTTCCTGTCGCACTCTTCACACCATTTATTTATTTATTACAAATTTGACAAACTGTTCAAGAGGAAACCTTGGTCTGAAGCCCAACACAAAAGTGGGAAACATTTTTGTTGTCTCAATATTTATAGTCTATCACTCCAGTTTTACAATAGGTTGAATATATTAATATTTTGTATTATTTCTTTAAAAGGGAAAAACCTTCTTTACATCCAACAGCCAGCAACTTGCCTCACCATTTTTAGTTATCTCAATATTCATAGTTTATGTTTAAATTATGGCTACCATTCCAGTCTTAGGACAGGTTGAATATATCACTATTTTGTATTTATGTTTATAAATATTATTATTCATCCAGGTAGGTTGGTTATATAATATATTATTATATAATTATAAATATTTATTATTAATTCATTTTGTATTTTTATTAAAGAAAAGCCCAGTAACTTGCTACTGCATGTGAAGATTTAAATGTCATACAGCAATTGGACTTTTCGCTACAACTTTAGATTATATCAGCCAGAGTGTTGAGATAACAAATCAGTCAAATCTCAACTTGCTTCCTGTCATTTCACTTCATTTTTTGTTTATCTCAATATTACCAGCTTATGTTCACTTTAACGGCCATCATTCAAGTTTTAGGTGAAGTTGAATATATAACTATTTTGTATTATTTTTTTCAAGAAGCCAGTAACTTGCTATTGAAAAGATTTAATTACATTCCATTATATAACAGTTATTAGACATTTGATTTTATCTGCCTGTGTGTTGACACAAAGTCTGATCGAATTCTTGTATTAAATGCTTGTGTGAGCTGTCTGTAGTAAATTGGACAATGACAGTGCAATTGGTTCAATGATGTATGCTGTCCTGCTCTTTTGGTTTTCTTATTTGTTTCTTTAGTCAGTTAAAAGGATATTTTATGGTTTAGTTAAATGCAGTTCTGATTAAATGGATCTGCTTCTCTTTAAAAAATATAATATATTAATATTATTTTGTTATTAAAGATCTGATTTATATAAGCTGATCAATTGTTGAACAGATATATACATGATTTGCCTTTATGAGACAAATAAGGAAAATGTTATTAGTATAAGAGCACCTTGACCGTCGAAATCTAAGCCAACAGCAAATGTGAAACAAATGACATCCAAAGAATGGTGGAAATTCGAATGATGATAATTCCTTTACTTTCAAGCTACTTCAAGAAATATGATTTATTTCACCAACTATTTTAAAATATCATTTGAAACTTATTAATCTAGATTAATTTGAAGTGGGAATTTGGGATTAAAAGATGATTAAAAGCTTATAAAGAATTTTTTGGACAAATGAATGATGTACATTATATTAAATGATTTTAAAGTTTTATTTTAAATATTTCAATAATTATAAAATTACCATTTAAAAAATGATCTATTTAAACTGGATTTATTTAAAGTGAAAATATGTAAATTGAGAATGGAGACTGATAAGATTTCCCTTTTAAGTTCCATACCACACTGTGCTAGATCAATCCTCCACTTAGTATAATTTAGTACCCACTCCAAAGACTTCCACCACAGAAAGATTAAAATGACTGGATGAGAAAACATCTTATTTTATTTACTTTTAAAAATTAGTGCAGTAGTATTATTTTTAGAAGTTGTACTTTGTATTTAGAACTGCAAAAGACATGTATTAAGGTGTTATTCATTTAAATAGTAAACAATTGTAGGCATTATGTTGGGCGTAGAAGCTTTATTAGAATAATCAATTAAAAAAGTTTAAACCTGAATGGAATACAGAGTACACTGCTTAATTGACACCTTCAGGGCAACTCATTAGCGTATTTGACACCTTCAGGGCAACTCATTAGCATATTTGACACCTTCAGGGCATTGTTTCAATACCATACTTAGACAATATTATGGGATATTGTGTGATGTAATTTAAACATTAAGTAGAGAAACAATTTACCAATGTAAGGTATGTATTTTATCACAAACAGTCTTTTTTTTTTTAATTCAGAACTTTGTTTTATCTAGAAAGGGTGTTAAAATCTAGATCAAAGTGACTGTTTCCACCACACATTATTTGTGTTCTTCTCTCCCACATTCCATTTCTGTTTTTACATGGTTACCTAGGTTAAAACATGAAATTAATTAGCAAAACCTAACAATCACATTCTAAAGAGGTCCAGCTATTTAAGAGGCTTTCTAAATGAACATTAATATTAAATATAAAAAAAATGGCTTTTACTTGAAGCATTTATCTTTCTATTAGCTCATAACAATGTGGACATGCTTGCATTAACATGGTCATATTATAATAAGCCTAAACAGTATTTTAACAATTCAAGTGTTTAAAATGTTATTGATAATTAGTCGTTAGATATATAGATTTTAGAGTTGTACCTACAACACCGATGACGGATGAAATCTTATTATTTTCTTTTGGAACAAGCCTTTCACAGTTTAATATATTTTTAGTTATATCATGAACAATGTTGTTTTAATTATTAAACCAGAAAAATTAACATCCTAGTCTTACTCTTTAATTGTGATGCTGCTTATTATATTTATTACATGTACATTTACTATTCAATTTAATGCATAATAGAAACAAAAAATCGAGGTAAAATATATCAGGTTTACATGGTTATCTTATTGTCATTATTATCAGTATCATCTACCTTCGATTTATACATTTATCTGTTGAAACTACACCATCACAACTTACAACAATGATCTTATCTAATTATTAACAATCTTAATTATTAACAATCTTACCTAATTAAAATTCTTAGCTAATTAATGTCCTTATCTAAGTAACTTGTTGTAACACCAGAGAATACACATAGATTCATTAATGATTTACTTTATCAAACTTTAACATTTTATTTTAATGACTATTTTAAGTATTACTTTGCTCCATTCCAACACTGATAAGAACAATCATTTTAAGACAAACTTTTAAGGCTTTTTATTTTAACTTCATTCTTTTTAATTTTTTTTAGTATTTTTTAAATTTAAGTTATAGCATGGGGAACCACAAAAAAAAAAGAAACAGAGGGGGTATGCCATGTAGAAGGCACAGCACAAGCAATCAACAACTTGACCGAGACATGATGTAGTTATCTTAATGGGAACCCAACAATTCCACATCAATTTTTTGGTGTGAGAATTCAATTACTACAATAAATAGCTTATCTGATGGTCAGTGTAATGGGTTTATGTCCCAAGCCAAGTTGGATGCAGAATGGCCAGCCTACCTAGTGTATGGATGAGCCCTTGCGTTCGTCTTCTGGGCGGGAGCCTTCGCTTGCAAGGAGGATTGTCCCCAACTGTCATCGCCACCTAAAAAAAAAATAAAAACAATGACATAACATGACTATCACCATTCATGTCCCAACAAATTAAACATAATAAAATTTCTGTAACAGATAAACTGTCCCCAAAAAATGTAGAAATTTTGTCAGGACATACTTTCCCACTCAATTTGGAATTGTAATTCTTGTCAACAAAAAAATAATTTGATTGAATTTTCAGTAATTATATCATAAATCAATACTTCTTGCTGCACAGCTCTGTAACAATTACTTTATTCCAAATAGTTTACCAATAATCACTGTAACACTTTCTTTCATTTGAACAATTTCAGTATCCAAAATTTTCATTATTTCTAGTGATAAGGGTAAACAGTATATTTTTAAATGATTTACCAGATTCGCTGAGTAAACTCATCTATCAATAATCCAAACTTATTGTTTCACACTTAAACAATTATAAAAAAAAAGACAAGACTAAGAAGAATTATCCTCATCAAACCTATATCATGACACTGTAGAATTATAAACTATAAATTATTGAGCTATACAAACATAAATGCTACAAAAAAATTATCAAAATTCAAATATTTAACATATCTAATAGCATGGGTGTTAGTAGGTCTAAGACACATTTAACAAATACAGCATTTATACATTTAACAACTACAGGTTTTTTTTTAAATTTTTATATTAACCATTCTCAGGAAAATCTTACAATAGTCATTTTATATTATTTATTATATAATTCTTAAACAAATTAAAAAAGTATAACGTTAAGAGAATAGTATTAAGTGCTTTAATGTTGTTTTGCTTCTAATCTTTATATAATTAATCATTATTTAATTCTCATGAAAACCTTTCAATAGTCATTTTATAGTACATTAATTATTATATACTTCTCATATAAATCTTAAAAATATAACATTAAGAGAATAGTATTGAGTGCTTTAATGATGTTTTGCTTATAACCATTAATAAGTTTGAAGAGTTTATTGCATTATGTACTTAGTAGGGCCAGTTACCATAGGAGGTGGTCCCAAATCCATCACCACTGCTTAGCATACCACCGCTGTTGTAGTCCTCATAACCAAATCCATCATTGCTACAAGGTAGGAAGATAACAATATTAATTAGGATTAATTAATATTTATTTTAGTGATTAATTATTTTATACTTCAAATGTGCGAATCCTCAGACAGGAGTTAGATTTTTGACCGACATCAGAAAATATATATTTAAACTTATTGAACATTGCTGAGCTGGGGAGATAAAAATTAATATTAATATTATTTTAGACATTATTTTATACTTGAAAAATATTTGAATCCTAACCTGTATTACATTTTAAAATCTAAAATTAATTGTTAATTTATGGTTAGTTTAATGTTATTTCTGTAATAAAATGTTTATTCATTTTACTATTATTTTTAGTTCCTTTTAGTGACTAATACATTAAATTTAAGAAAAAAATATTCAAAATTTTACTTCTACTTATATTATTTTAGATTTTTTTTGGATAGGTTCCCATGAAAGCAGTGGTAGTGGAGGGGGTAATAATAGAAGATGAACTCACCCTTGTGTGTTGTATCCTTCATCATATGATTGGTCATACTGCTGTCCATATTCATACTACAAACACAATAGAACATTAAAAATTAAAAAATCCACTTAACTCATTTGAATATTTTATCATTATCGCTTCATATTCATTCAGATAATGACAAAGGGCTTTGTATGTTTATAATAGGGAGATTTTGATTCGCGACAACGTAGTGATGTCATACTAATTAAATTGTGCATGTCTGAACTTTATGCATTACATTCTCTCCTGAAATCGTCGTCGGCTAAATCGACATTTAGACAAAAACTGTACTGTATTAAACATTCGTGAAGATAATTTTCAACAAAATTCAGAATGCACGCGACGACTGTCATAGATGACTGAATATGTTCTATTGTTTTTTTTTCTTGGTCAAAAGCTACCTACTTACAACAAAGAAAGGATACTCACATAATCATTTGCGCCAACTGAGGCTTGATATCCTCCTTGGCCTCCGTACCCTCCTCTAGCTGCACCTCTTGACGGACCGCCCCTCAATGCACCTCGACCTGCCGGTGCTGCTCCCCTCAATCCTCCTCTTGGTCCTCCTCTTACTGGACCCCTCAATGCTGGGCCACCTCGAGGTGGTAGTCCCCTTCCTCTTGGTGGTGGACCCCCTCGAAGTGGAAGCCCACCTCTTCGGCCCCTACCCCCCATCTGTGGTTCAGGGAATGTTCCTTTGATCATCGCAAGTTCTTGGATCTGATGCATCCTAATATCATCGTTGTTGTCCTGTAAAAATTATAAAGCTTATCAATATGCTCATCAAATATTTGTGACCGGCTTTTGCAAAAAACCCTTTTGTGCCGCAATTTCTAATTTCCCGCAAGCACTGAAAACTTTTTTAGAACCACAATTTTTAACATTTTTATGTTTTTGCATTTTATAAAAGAAGCTATATTAAAGAACATTTCTGCAAAATATCAATCAATAAATCTAACTCAAAAGCATATTAAAATTATTCTTAAAATACAAATCTTAATAATAAACTATTGATTTTGAAATTTTTGGAAGCCGTTTTCTCAAAACCTACATGGATGATATCCAATGAATTAAATATTCACAACTTCACAAATACTCAACCAATTTCCATAAAAAAAAACACGGTTTTAAAGAAGAATTCATGCAGAATCTAAAAGCACCAACAACTCAATTTTTAATTTTCCTACTTACAGGTACAAGGTGGTACTGTATTTCTCCAAGGGCAGTGGCCATTCTCTGGTATGCCTCCACTACTTGTGCGTAGGCCTCAATATGTACATGTAACTCATCATGCAAGTGTGAATATTTGGGGTTTCCTTCATTCCTCAGTTCTTCCTCCTGTTGAATATGTAAATTAGAACATTAGCATAATATATACAATTGTGCAGATACATATGTAAAATTTTGGATTTTTACTTCTATTGATGTAATATGCTTTATGCTAGACCGAAAAAAAAAAAAATCACTAATCTCAAAAACACTATTTCCATGCAGGTCACCATGCATTCATCCCAGCATAAAGGTTTTTCCTTGCATTTATTTTGTTATATTCTGGGTTAAAGATCATCTTCAAACAGAGTGGTCGATTATATCAGCTTTTATATGAATTGAACACCTACCTTCTGTTTATCTCTCATAGAGCCTTTTCCTAGGATAGATATTCTGGTTTTTGTCTCCTCCTGCATTCTCTTTAGTGAATTTCCTCTTGGTCCAAGAAGTTTCCCAACAAAGTTAAACTAAAAAAGTAACATAATTGAGTTCTCTAATTACATCTACCCACAATAATCTTAATTCTCCAATAACTACAACCTCCATCAGATTTATATATTATCATTATAAAATTACACAATAAACCTATTAAACTGTCTTTAAAAAACGCAAATGATTTAACATGCAAGATTAAAATGCTGTTCATATTTCATGTTGCTAGGATACACATACAGCTAGGTGAATATCAACCTTACCTTTGGATGTTCTTTTATCGGGATGCGCACCCTAACTTCCAATTTGATTGGTTTTGGCGAATTCACTTCAATTAATCTTTCTTTACCTCCTGCTGTGGCTTGAGGTTCTGGCTCTTCTAAAAAAGAGAAATCATTGCATTAGAAACAAACACACAAACCCAAAACAAGGCTAAAAGAAGAAAAAAAACCAACATGAAATTTTAGGCTTTAAGCATTTGCAATTTTCTTCTACTGCCAGTTTATTACCTCTTCCCGATCGCGAATCGTACAATAACGTAATAATAATAAGCCATCTTACTGATTTTAACAAATCTGTTTTGGATACAAATTATTCTATTGTAGCAGATTAAACTGAAATGTCTGCTACAGTACAGTAGAACCCCTTAATTACATACGGCACAGGTAATTGCGGGTATTCGTAAAATCGGGGTTTACCCAAATTCCTATATATTTGCACTGGTACTACTTACACAGGCATAAACTAGGCCAAGGCTAGGCCCACCAGCCTATGCAGCTAAGTCTGAGGGGGGGCTACAGTAGGCAGTTTCTAAGCATTCTTATCCCACTCTAGGCCCCACAAAAATTTGTTTTTACCTTCTTAAATGCCTAGATTGTGGATTTTACTCCAACACAACTTCCATAGATACTTGTCTATTATACAGTGTATATTGATCATTCAATAAAACAATCAATTACTATGTTGATTTTTAAGCTAAAAACGATGAAAGAGAAGTAAAATTTGTCGCATACACATGTGTGAAGCCATAATAAACACTGAATATGAAGAGCCCTGTTAGAGGGCCTCCTTCAATTGTTGGTTATAATGAACACATAAAATTTAATTGGCTACCTGTTTCAACTAGAGTTGCTGAACGTAAATGTATTCAAATTTTCAAAATTATAAATGGCATATCACCTGTATATTTAAATATTGGTATTGAGTTCACTAACCTATTTCATACAGTAACAATAATACTAGATTTTCTACTTCTAGAATGTCAATTTATAAACACAAATCTGGTACACATAATGGTTTTTCATTTATTGATACCGCTATTGATGAATGGAATAAATTACCTTATAATGTTCAAAATGCATTTGTACTTTTCTGTGTTTTTATCCTTTAATGTTTTTACTTATGATTACTTCAGAATGAATAAATAAATACAAAAAATATTGAGAATTACAAAGTATAGTAAACAGTAACAATTTTACTGAATAGAGAACAGTTTATATTTACTTTTCAGTAGATTTTTTTTTGAAAAAAATTATTATTACTATACAACATGTGAAAGTAACAATATTTTTCCCTAGATGTTTTTCTTTGTATATTGACAAATATTCAAAATGATAAAAATTTCAACATAAAAATCATATCACTTATCAGATTTCATCAAAAAATTATGTGCTTCATTATAATAATTGTTTTAATGAATATGTTTTAGACACAATTAATCAAGATTGACAAAGGCTATATCCCTTTAGAAAAATCAAACTCTGCAAGGCTGCTAATAATTGACTGGAAATCCAAAATTTGCATAACTATTTATGTAGTCACTATTGTATTAATTCATGGCCCAAGCTATACCATTATGTAAGTTTCTCAAGTCAATTGTCTGGGTGCAAAAGCCATACACTCTAGCCCTTATTACAAATGCTCATTCAAAAACAAAGTAACTGCATCTCAACTATTAATGTATTATTTTGTTTTTCTTTATTATTTTTCAATATAAGAATTTTGGCAGTGGCTATTGTTAACAGATGTCTTAGTCAAATTTATTAATTCTGCGTTATTGTGTAAGGATTGGATTAGAACAGAAAACAACATCCAATCAGAATTAATAATTAGTTTGACTGGTATAAAAAAAAATCCTTTAAAGTTTACATATAGGCCTAGAATTTGAAGGACCGTTTCGGCCATGATGCACAGAACACATTTTGTAATATTGTGTTATATTTTTCAGACAATTAGATTCAATACTGATTGAAACTATAACATATAGTAATGTGTGTGCTTAGATGGATGTAAAAATAACTGTGGGCAAGACATGCATTTTTAAAAAAAGTAATAAACAAATAAAAGTAATGCAAAAAATGCATTTCATTAGTCAATTTTATGGCTATGCATAAAATACAAGAAACAAGTTTAAATCCAAAGTTAGTTTAAGACAATAAATAGACAAAATAAAATCTTAACTTTGATGAAATTCTGGTTAATAGACATAATAAAATCTTTACTTTGATGAAATTCTGGTTAACTGATATGAGTTTAGTTTATTTATTATTTTCTGATGTCCACGGTGTTGCATATCCTGCGGCCTAACTGGGTGGTATTTGCCTAGAAAAAGAGGCAAATACCTAGGCCTAGGCACTTTCTAAACCTTATTTTAGACACATCGATTGTCATGATTCATTACGATCAGGAACATCTAATCATATTATTATATGAAGCGTATTAACTATTATTTGGTTGCTTAGGCCAGGCCTCATGTCTACACTAGACGTCAGGTCAGGAGCGGTCAGCAGTACATTGAGGGAGAGGCCTAGGCTTGTCATGAGTGAATGCTTGGGGCTTGGCCTGACAAACAAGACAGAAAATAGTCGGTAAACTTGGGTAAGAAAAATTAAAACGAATTAAAATGTTTTTGCTTTTGTTGACTTAATTAAAACAGCACATCATAAGCGTAGACATACTATGGAATTGTACAAGTAATTTTTGGTTAAGAGTAGATTATTAATACTTTCAAAACTACTAGGCTAAACTTCAAAATACATACAAACAAGGCTAGCAACATTTTCAAGCTACAGAGCGGGCTTTCTGTCTCAGCACCACATGAGACAACAAGCAGTCAACGTTTTGTGACATCTAAATTGTTCATGAAAAACGATTTTCTTAAATCTAAAAATATTATATTTTCTTACCAGCTTGTTCCACCTTAATTCCGTCCATTTTATGGCTATAAATTTATTTAAAAAACACCCCAATTTTTGAATTTAAATAAGTGTTCACAGAGCAGAAACACACGCCGTACTTGCCGGTGGCCTAAGAACACCATGCGTTTCTTCTCTACAAACAACAACTGACTACAATAGTTATATCACTACGCAATGTATATTTCCATAATAAATCTGTTCTTTTATTACTTAATATGTTTTATTTATTTATGTTTTATGCATTTTTTCTATAAGACATTTACGTATTCGCTACATACATACTGAATACAGCCATTTTATTATTTTTTAATTTATCAATTCGTACTATTTGTCTTCTCGATTACGGCGAACGAACACCAACACATATGGGGAGCAAGCGCAGAATGCCGATTAATAATGTTCTCTACCGCCCTCTATTTTCAGAAAAGAAGTTATGCACACAAAATGTACTGTATTTAGGACTAATAACTATGGACTTGGCTGATAAATTATTTAAATCATATGCTATTTATACAACGTTCTAATGATAATTTAATTAACAGTTTCATACATTTATCATAAATGGTACTGTTAGACCTGAACCCCTTGTTATTTTAGCGGTAGGCTCATTAGACCTATGTCTTTTGGTGGTGAGAGAGGAATCACTGAATCCCCCTGACATAATAATTATTGAAATATAAATTTGTGCACAATTAAAAGAATCACAAACTAAAATAACTATTTTTAAGTCAGAGTGATAAAAATCCTTAAATTTGTTGCCTAAGGTACTATGATCTCAAGAACATGGATTGGTATTGTTAATCATCCGTCACACTGGTGATACAGATAGGCCTATGAACATATAAAGGAAAAATACTTATACATAGGCCTAGATGTAAGTATAAAGAAAGGACCAGAGGGTGTGGTGAAAATCCGGCCTACGGCTTAGTACGATCCTGCCATTCTTAAAACTTTCGTACCCCAGGCTAAAGTGTAGATGTTTAAACCATCAAACCCCTAACAAAAATTCCTGGATCCGCCTGAGCTGCCTTCATAATTTTAATTAGCGCCACCTCTAAAATGAATTGTACTTGCATTAACAAATTTGCTTCCTGTGCAATGTGGCCATGCCATGGCTTCAGTGGCGGCTCTAGGATATATTTTCTGGGGGGGGGGGGCTAAGTTGTCCGACAGGGGGACTTGAGCCCGTAGGCCCGAGCTCTGGGTACCAGCAAACTGCTGGAGATTAACCTGCGACGGACCAGTGCCACGTCCATGGGGGAAATACAGTACAACTCTCATCTGCTTCACACTACAGAAACTGGGGATAAGCTTAGCCGTATGAGCCCTAGTGGCTCGGAAAGGATTTAGTTTTTTTTTAAGGTCTGTTTTTACTATCCGTTGCGTTTTACTATCTTCCGTGTTTTTAAAATTATATTCTATATTTACTTCAAATTTCAGGTCATATTTTTCTTTATTCTTTTATTATACTTGAAGTTTTATATTGTTCTTTTATTATTGTTCGAGTGTGTATGCATTTGCGTATCTTAATTTATAGCCTAGATCGTTTTTTATTACCTTTACTTTTGTTGGTTGGTACGGTTCCTCACTTTGCATGTAAAGCGGTCTTTTTAATGACTTTGTAAGGTCCGTTTTTACTATCGGTTGCGTTTGTTAATTAAATTATTTTCCATATTCACTTCAAATTTCAAGTCATTTTTTTATTCTTTCATTGTACTCGGAAGTTTTATATTATTCTTTTAATCTTATAATGTCATTATATAAACCTGGACACACCTGTTTTAATGACTTTAATGACCTTAAGCGGTTGGGATATATATTCCCTGTCTCTTATACACATCTAGATGTGTATAAGAGACAGCGCCTGAGCTGCCTTCATAATTTTAATGCCGAAAAATAAAAAGAAAAGTAGAAAAAAAAATTAAAAAGAGGAAGGAGGGAAAAAAGGAAGTACCCATGAGTTCAGTGGCGGATCCAGCATGCAGTGGGCGAACGGCGGGAAGCTCGATTTATTTTACCACCCACTAATTTTGAATTTTCATTGATGTTGACAACGAACACAACGCTATGCATTTTAAACCAGGCTGGTTTTTGATTTACGTTTTGGAATAGAATTTGGAGAGGGCGTTTGATCAAGTCAGACCTACGTTTTGAATTTGAATTACATTTTAAAGAAATTAGAACTCTACATTTTGGAATTTGAACTACGTTTTGAGAAATTAGAACTTCATTTTGGGAAACTAGATCTACATTTTGAGAAATTTACGCCTACGTTTTGATAAATCAGACATTGAATTTTGCAATTACATTTTGATTTTAACATGGATTTTGCTGCATATGGCACCCCATATTTCCCCGACCCCGGTTTTTCTCAAAGATTTCATAAAACAGGATGTAAAAAAAGGCCAAAAGACGGAGCTAGATCTAGACGGAATTTTTTAGCCATTACTGTATACGGAATGTAGTACCCAGTAGAACAGCTATCCATGCTAACGTCTCGGTCTGCGCTCACGTGCGGCAGTCCTCAGTGGCCACTGACCACCGACCCTATAGGGGCCCATTCGGTTCCCCTACCCATAGGGTCATCGCTCTATAGCACCCTGATCCAAAATGGCTTTTTTGATACATAACAGCATACCGTACTCGCGCATCTATTTTCCATAAGCGCCCCCTCAATTTCCACTCTGTTTTCATAAGCGCCCCGTTTGAATAAGCGCCCCTCAGAAAGTGCAAAAAATATTTTAAGCGCCCGGGCGCTTATTCGCGCGAGTACGATAAATGTGTCTCTGACATCGACTGTAGGACATAGGGCCTATATATAATATTTATCCAGTTGGGGTGGGGTGCCCAACTGGCCAGGACCTCATGTCAAATTAAAAAAAAAAAAAAGAAATAAAATATTCAAATTTTAAGTCTGAATGAGTGCCATTTCCGGGGTCCTTGATTAGACCTTTGCGACGCCCGTGAGGGGAAGGTTGTCTAAGGGAGGGGAAGCATCCAGTAGGGAAAACGTCAATAATTTTGTTGAGGAACACCAGACCTACTTTGAGAATTTTTAAAAATTCTTAAAAATTAAGAGAATTCTTAAAATTTGCTCACCTCCGGCAGCCCCAACCGTGGTGGTGGGGATCTGGTGGGGACTAACTATTCTAGCTCCCGTCAGAAAATTTCTGGATCCGCCCTTGATAAATGTTCTTACCTAGCTCCTGTGGGGCTGAGGTGGTTAGAGCCTCCATCTGTGAAAATCCCTCACTTGTACCCCTCCCCCAAACCCCTCACCATTTCGAATTCCTGGATCCGCCACTGGGGAATACTGTCCAAATTGGTCATGGTCATTTTTTGGCTGATGTAAGATGCATAAGGGAACTCCCTATATTCTTTGAAGGTCTTTTTGAGTAGATCGTCCAGCGACAATAGATAATTTTTTTTCATTGATGTAAATTGTATTTTATTTGGTTGCATCCCTCTGTTTTTTGGGAAGTAAGCACAGTATTGAGTATTATTAATATTATTACACAGTTTAACTGTTTAGGTAGACCCTCAAAATAATTATAACTGTATGATTAGATTGAACATAAACTATGACATAACTCGGTTTATAAGTCCTTGGTTCGTTGACCGGGCACGTTGACTTTGTTTGGGCTTGGTTGCCCTTCAAAATTTTAGAAAACTTTACTCAATGCTAATCTCCACACTATGACAAATCTGCGGTCGGGCATGGATCCGGGTTAAAGCATTCTGAACATTTTTATTATTTAGTACAAACAGATAACGCCGCCTCTCTGTTATTGCATCTCTGATAACAGGCTATGAGTCGATAAATGAGTTACACAATTTTTAGAAGAGAGGTATCATGCAAAACTTTCAGTAACATTTCTTTTTCCTTCCCCCTTCCTTATTTCTTTTCTTTACTTTTTTTTTTTGGAAGGAATCATAGGCTCTAGCCCCAATGGTCCCCGATCCGCTCCCGGGACCTATTCTATTGAGACTTTTGGCGATGGATGACCGACGCTAACACGAAGTTGTAATTTTTAACTGTTTTTCCTTTGATGGTGTCTTAAAAATCTTTAACTCGGGTGATTTTAAATTTAAAAAAAAATATCTATTTTTACACTGTTTTAAATGTCGGTTTTAACTTTGTTAATTCTTTTTGAATTTTTATGACTTTTAACTTAGTATTGAATATGGTCCTTTGATTTGCAATATTTTTTTTTTTTTTGTGTGTTACAACCTTTTTTATTTTCTGTGTGTTAATAGACTTTTTATTATAAACATTTTTTACAATTTTACGTACGGTAGTTTTTCAAACAACAAATTTCCAATTTGGTCCTCAAGTTAATTTGGCCCGTGAGGAAAAACAAAATAATAAGAAATATATTTAAAACATATTTAAAGTACAAGGAATAAGTTTTCTGGGTAATGTGCATAGGGATGGTTTGAAATCGAGCGAGATATTATAGGCCGTAAGTAGAATAATAATGGCGTAAACGATTGATCACTGGGTGGTTCCATGGTCCTATTATTCTTCACTGTATGTTTCAAACAAGGAAAAACAAAGAAAGAGTTTAAAACGCGCGCGTAGTGATGTAGGGGATCCCCGACAGATGGGGAGGAAGGAGGATGACGAGAGCAAAATGGGCGTGGTCGGACGTCGTTCAAAATCTGTGGAAAGTAGTCCAGGGGTTTCAATGGCTTATGTTTTTTTTTTCTTTCCGACGAATTGTGGGTTTTCTCCCTGAAAAAAAGGGGGGGGGGGCAGTTATATAAAAATCTGTAGTCACGCATTTATTATTTTCATTTATCACAATAGCGATAGTCACCTACTGAACACATGCGGTAAATCTTCAAAACAACTTCTGAATTTCTCGAAATATTAATTTATGGCGTACGTGCCTCCTGCGCGTGCAAGCCATCACTCGAAGTGGGTTGACCTTGTTAAGATTCTCTAAGCCCCGCCTCCTGTTGATTACTGTAGGCCTATGTCGTCGTCATCCGGAGCACATGGTGTTCGCTGCTGATTTTGTTAGTTTAGTCTTGATGCATATGAGTCCCAAAACTACAAACATGATGGTTTTCGTTAGAGGAACGTTGTTGTTTTTCTGTATCATCAACAATATTGAAGCAGGTTTGAGTCAGCGAACGTACT